TGCCCAAGGGATTTCATTCCTCACCCAAAATACCACAAAATGCTCCCATAAAGGTTCCAGCATTTTGCCTGGTTTTCTAGAGATAACAAGCATGTGAGATCAATGAGGGTGCAGGCAGTATGGGAAGGGACTTCCTAGCTCCCGGTTTTAGCCGCCTCACCTGGGTATCTAGATTAGGGACCTTGTTTGGGGTCAGCCTCTCCAGGGGAGATGCCCTTGTACCCCGCAACTGATGGACTCCGAGCCCATTGGCACTGGCTGGAGGCAAGGACAAGGCTGACCATTGCGCTGGGCCCAGGGAAAGCTGCGTGTGGGTTTGCCTTGGCTACTGAAGAGCAAGAAATCTTCCTTCTTCCTTTGCCCCTTCCAGCATCCGTGGGCCCCTGCTGCGGTCTTTCAAGGGACAGCTGGAGGGAGTGGGGAACGAAGGTCAGGAAATCTTTGGCTATAAAATACTGTTTCCTCTGTTAATAACATCTGACCAACACCAAAAGACAAAGAGGACCAGGTGGATCAGTTTTGCACAGTGACAAGTTGGAGACTTTTTCTTAAAAGAGGGCATAGGGCGAGGGAGCAGAGCGCGGCCACGCAGCCACTGCCGAACACCAGAAGAGGACAGGCTCTCCCAGCCTGAGCAAGGAGGCAGCTGGTGCGACTGAGTCTTACTGCCCAGAGCACGTGAAAGACATGGGACTTCCCAGAGTCGGCACTCAAATTCCTCCTTGTTTGTGGACGGCTGAATTCGGTCTCAGGCACAGGCTGCTGACGCTCGGCTCTGGCTTTCTCCTCCTTATTGCAAAATCGCAGTCTGGCAAGAGTAACAGTGAAGACATCCCACCGCAGCAAAAAAAAAAAAAAACATCCGCTGAAAAGAATTTTTTTCACATCGCACTCCTGGCAAGAGCTGGAAACCTGGGACCCTGAGGAAAGTCCTCACACCGGATCCCTGAGGGGCCTTCTCCCCATTTAGCTGGGAAGGGGAAGGAGAAAAGGGGATCTCAAGCTGTGACACATATGCCATAAGGCATTTCAACACGGTACATAGCCTACACAGCACCAGGAATTACTGCCAGTGGTGACACAAGCCATTGCTGTTGCCCATGGACAAACCCAGCAAAAAGTTGCTTTGGGAAACCTGCGATGGGGATCTGCCCTGTGTGACCTGAGAGCTTTCAAGATCATTTCATGTAGGTCCCTGCAGAGCTGTTTTACAGTACCCCAGCAGGGTTGTGCCGCCGTGTCTCAAAATTAGGCACTGCAAGCCTTAATGGCTTCATCAAAACTTTCATTTTATTCAGAAACTCAAAGTGAATCGCTCCCCTCGCTTCCCTGCTTCCGTGTTTCTGCCAAATTTCAAGCTTGGACCACTGCAGGCAGCCCTTTACGCTGTCAAAGTAGTACTGAAGTCAGCCACAGTCAAACTTGAGCAGCGAGAAGATAAGGGTGGGATAGAGGTGGCTTTCCAGGAGTCACAGGAGTCCCTTGGTCCCTTGTTTTCCAGCTGCAGGGACACACACCCAGCACAATCAGCGTGGGATTGTCAAGTGCTGCTCGCTGTACATACATAGGCCAATTCTCCATCCCAAGCCTCAGCTAATCCCTTCCCACCCTGGCCAAAGGAAATGCCTTTTCCGCCCCAGCTCTCGTTCCCGTTCGCACGACAGGCACACTCTGTCCCTTTGCTCCGGCCATTGGGAATCCCTTCACGTCCCTCTCTTCCCCTCCCCGCCTCGAATTTGCTGGAAGCAACCATATATGGTGAAAAATGGAGAAAACGGCACCAGGAAGCTACTGGAAGCTCTGCACAAGGCAGCAGCCTCTGGGCAGCCAGACTGCAAACTCTCGCAGTGCTTTTCAGAGGCGGGAGCCAGTTATCTAGGCTGAGATGATAGACGGGGCAAAGGATGGCTGGCGACAAGAGGAGCGTGATTGCTCCAGGCAACAGCAGCCAGGGACTCCTGGTAACCAAGACCAGGAAATAAAGGCTTTTATGAGTGCTCTTGTGCATCAGGGTTGTGTTACAGGCACGATTCAGATCGATCATGGGCAGGGGGGCAGTTTTCAGCAAAAACCTTACGTTGCTGGTATGGAGCGTGATTTGTGCTGCCCAGTTTCTGCCTCACCTAATCGCTTCCCCATGACCCACTCAACAGCCCCTGCTGTCAGTGAGTCATCTCAGGGCATGGTTTCTAACTCGGCCCTTCCCTGCTCTTCAGGGTTGGGTTATCCCCGACATATCCAGTTAGTCATGCAGCTCTCCCTTCCGTCACTAGCCCATGGCCAGCGAGGAGAAGGCTCTGGGCCGCTCTCCCCATCCGCCTGGATGGCACTGGCCCCAGGGCTGACTTTTCCCCTTCCTTGTGTCCACCACCAAGGCTGGAGGGATCCTCCAAGCAACATGTTGCCAGGGGAAAACAAGCTGAGGGGGGGACCGAGGCCTTAAAAAAATTGCTTAGGAGAAGGGAGGAAGCGCCCAAGAGCTGGTCTCTGCCCAAAACCATAACCGGCTTCTCTTTGATATCATTCTTTTTAAAGAGACGTGACATTTTGAAGCTTTTGTTTTACAGGCTAAAATTCCTCTGCGTTTCCAAGTCCCTTGCTTAATCCAGGGTGCTGCTTGCGTGGGAAACCTTGTGAACCGAGTCTCATCCTGAGGAAGTTGCAGCTGCTCCTCCTTCAGTGGAGAGACCACAGAGGCCTTTCCAGTCAGATGGAGGTCAGGGGAGCAAAGGGCAGAAGCTGATGGACAGATAAAAAGAAACTTGGAGAGGATCCAGGCTTTGAAACGTGCCTTGGACCATATCTCTGGCAAGCCGAGGACTTCATCGCCCTTTGACATCGCTGGAATGCATTTGACAGTTGGGGAGAAAGCCACCATGGGCTGGAAGAGCCAGGTTGGAGACCTCTTTCTTGGGAGACCTGCACCGAGGGAAACCAGAGACGGGGAGCGCAAACACGGATCCCAAAGGAACGCAAGGGTGCGAGCGGGCCAAGAACCAAATTGAGGTCTTTGGGATCGCGTATCCCATAGCTGGCAAGGCTGCAAAGAGAGCTCGGCTCGTTTCGCCAAATTAGAGCAAATCCGTAATTCTTGTGAGCCCGGGGACCTTCTCCCTAGCAAGGGACAACGGGGAGAGCTTGTCAGGACCAGACCTGCAGCAGGAAAAGGCGCACGTCCTCCATTGCGCACCTCACCGCAAAAGAGTTCTCTAGCAGCGAGGAAATTTGTCCTGCAGTTTGGCAGGCGATCAGCTTACACCCCGCAAGTTTATCTGACCATTTTTATCAGTTTATGCTAACAGGTGTGAATTAACTTTGAGGGACGGAGAGGAGGGCAAAGAAATAAAAGCACGGCGCGCGGCAGAAAGGCACGGACAAACAAGCGCCATATCAGAGGGCAAAGGACAACCGAGACAACACCGAACAAAAACACATCCCTTTCCTCGGCGGGGGGGAAGGAAGGTCTTTAGAGTCCCCCCCACCCCACACACACACCCTGTTTCCACTCCTGCCTTTTTATGGCTCATTTAGTGGCTCCAGAAATATTACCCTCCCGTTTCCTCCCCTCTCCATGCCTGCTTTCCTGAACTACGAAAGCATTAATCGCTCTTAAAACCCATGACAAAACAGCCTGTCGGGGAGGAACGTGTGTGCTCAGCACGACCACGCACAAATTACAATTCAAGGGTTTCTCCCAGTTAAAAGCCCCACGGGGCAGCGACACGGGTGATACGGTGTCACCCGCTCCCCAAATCCCTGCCGGGGGTACGGGGGCAAGGGGGGGGGTCT